CGCCGCGGTCAGTGGCGGGCTGGACTCGCAATCCAGAGGTCACCGGGGTTCAATCTCCCGGCGAGGCAGCAGAAAAAAAATGGCGCGGGTTTTTCCTGAAGTTCCCGGCCCACCACCCCCTCTCCGCCCCGCCTCTGTCCACCCGGCGGTACAGATGGGTACAGCACAGTTGGTAGGTCGGCAGGCCGCGAGTGGTGGTGGACTTCTTCTTTCGGATGGATTAATAACAGCAGATTGAAGTTGTCACTTTAGATTTGTGTAAAAAAAAACCTCGTTTTTAAAACCTCGTTTTTATTTTTACCACGTAAGGCCCACTGAGCTATGCAGGAGCAACGTGGCCATCACCAATGATAGCTCAGCGAAGTGGCTTATCACGTGCAAGTTTACAGCGTGATGTTAACTATAAATGTGGAGGGGGAAAAACGGGAGGAACCGGAAAAAAATCCGCGTGACCACGGGGAGAGAGAGAGAGAGAGACACGCAAACTCCAAATATACAACAGGCGTCAAGGGTCGGGATCGTACCCACGGCCTCCTGCATACCAGGCGAGGGAGTGAACATCTTGCCACCGGCGGCACCCTGTTATCCGCTCAATTGTCTGTTCAAAAGCAGAGTGGATCTCGTCCATTCACCCTTTCGAAGGAGTGCATACAGCAGCAGCGGGTGTTTACAATCTGGTCGATTGGTTTGGGATTCGTGGTGGGGTAAAGTGTGGGTAACACTCCCACTTCTCCCAAGGCGCCTGGCCAGCGTGGATGAGGAGGTCAAAATAACATCTTGTGGGGGCTCCCTCGAGGTCGCCGATAACAGAGAGAGGCTTCCACGACTTAAACTATTTTATTATTTACCGGGTGAAGCCCCGGGGAGCTTTGAGCTCTTTTTTCAGAAGCCCCCCTGGCCACGTCGAATAAGCTCATCGAAGTGACATCACGCGTGGGGGACTTTGTAGCATCAGCCAAATCATCGCATAAATGCGTGTTTTATTAAAATGCGGAGCGGAAAAAAACCCCAGAGGAACCCCAGAGAGCAATCCACGCGAGATCGTGGGTAGAACACGCCGGACTCCAAACATACATCGGGCATTGTCGGGGTCCGGGATCAAACCCGTGACCTCCTGCGTACCAAGTGAGGGAGATAATAGCCGACCGCGATCGTGGCACCACCGATTTCAGATGTACATTTCAGACACCGGCAGCAGAGGCATGAGCAAAGCAATTGCAGGGCTGTACCTTTACCCAACCAACAACAAAACAAGATCCCCTGTTTAGCCTTCATAGACTTTTGAGCCAAGTGCCTATGAAGCATGGGGTGGGTAGCCAACACCATGCCCGACCACCTTTGTCTCCCCAGTGGCAATGTTTACACACCGCACCAGGTAATCATTTGAGGCCGAGCCGACCTAGAGGAGGCCCAGGATCGGGTTTCAGATAATCGTCACCGGTGTCGGTGGTGAGCGGGGAATCAAACTCGGGTCGCCGGGTTCGTAGCGCGGCACGCTAACCACTGCATCACCTGTAACCCACCAACAACAAAACACACAGAGAGCCTTGAAGACCCTGAAACCATCCAGTAATCATCTACAGACCAAGCGAGAGGCCCTGTTGTCTTCCCGGGGCCCATCCCCCACCGGCCCCCAACACCACTCAATTTTCCGAACGCGTCAAGTAAAAGTGAAGGGTAGTTTTAAGAGGTCCTTTCGCTTGTCCTTGACTAGTCAATGATTCAACCGGTCTCTTGCACCATCAATTCCCCAACCCGCCAGGGGCCCCCACGCAGATGACGAGAGACAAAGAAGGGCTCCAGGAAAAAAACCCTCCGCAGAACTCCCAGGCACAAGAGAACCACGGTACAGGACGGGGGGGGGGGGCAGCCAAGCTGCTACGACTACTTCTACTACACATGGCCCTCCATGAAGGCGCAAGAACCCCCACGTGTACGAGTTGTTGCCAGACCCTACCGATTCAAAACCCGGGTCGACGTCATTAGTGGTGGAGCCAGCCCACTCAGCACCCTAAACAATATATACGTGCGTAAATATGGATATGTCACGTGACTGCACAAATATTACAAGCTGGACAAGGTATGCAAACCAATTTCGTCACAGTTGAGTTACAGACTACTGTAATTACAATTGAATTAATTTTAGTAGTCAAAGATGCCCCTCTGTGTAACCTTCAACGGACTGTTGGGGAAAGCGCTGTGAGCTAGCAGCGCCTATGAAGGCCGGCACGGCACGGCAAACGGGGGATAGGGTGGCCAACAACTACGCCTGGCAGCCTCCGTCTCCCCAGTGCCGATGGTTACACACTGCACCAGGTACTCATTTAAGGCTGAGTCGATCTAGGGGAGGCCCAGGACCGGTGCAAATATTCGCCGCTGTTATTTCTTGTGAGGGGGAATCGAACTCGAAATGGCAGGTTTGAATGTGCTTATCACTACACCACCGCTCCACACATAGTCGTGATATTAGTACGATAGATGTTTTATTCATTTACTAGCCTATAGCCCGTCCAAGGATGGGTGTATTGCAGTAAATTTGAAACATTCAAGCGAAAAGACAGACCGCGATGTGATATATTCATTGCATCAATTTGTGTGCTATTTGTAAGGCCGCGGTGACACAGACTTATTTCATTTAAAGGTTATAATCCCTTGTTCATCACGACGTCCTTTTTACTTCGATGTCTCAACAACAGCGTTACTGAGATCACGTGACGTGAGCGTTCTGCTTTTGTCGTGAGGGTTGTAAGTTGACGCTGAGGAGGGGGGAGGAGGCGCCTCGCCCCCCCCCCCCATGTGGAGTGTCGTCACCTGCTCATGGTTATTAATGAGGGGAGTGCTCCATGCGGAGTGACGTCACCCGCTCATGATTATTAATGAGGGGGATCCATGTGGAGGACGTCACCTGTTCATGATTATTAATGAGGGGGGCTGCTGAACGTGGAGTGACACAACACAATTCTTGGCTCATTATATTCGTAATAATTATAAGCATCTGAGTTCAATATAGTTCAACCCTGTTTCATCATGCACCAGGGTTCCTTTTAGCTGTTTGGGGTCATAAACTTTTGCTTAGTTTGCATATACTGAGAGCAGACACTGGTTATTATTCTCATAGCGAATGAGTCCTTCACCTCAACAAACATTTTGCGAGATCGCCGTAGGTCTTTAAAAATAGACTTTGCTCAAGCGCCGGAAGCCTCTGCACTGTCACTCAATCACTCGGTGGCTCTTGCTTAATCATCGGCCTCCATTACTGCAAATGTCACGCAGCACACGGGGGGGGGGACATGGGGAGGATGGGTGCTCGCGGTGGCGAGATGTTAACTACCTCGCCTGGTATGCAGGAGGTCGTGGGTTCAATCCCGACCCTGACGACTCCTGTATATTCGGAGTTTGTGTGTTCTTCCCGTGGTCACGTGGATTTTTCTCTGGCTCCCTCTCGTTTCTCCCATCACGTTTAGAACGTGCGTTTAGATAAATGTCCACATGATGTACCAACTTTGTGGTGCTATCAATTGTTGGCCAGGTCGCTTTTGAAAAAGAGCTATATATGGCTCGGTGACTTACCCAGTACCTTGCGAACGGGGCTAACGTCTCGCTACCGCAGCGCCCCACGGGCAGCTAAACAATCCGTGGCATCATCTTGTTCGTGAGAAGACGGTGGGGATTCTCAGCTTCCACTTCTGTCCGAACGAGGATTTTAATTAATCGAACGTTTCCAGCAACGTTTCCTGGAACCACAGAGCCTGCTGCTGCTGCTAACCATGGCCGTTGTCGCGTCCGTACGTGGCTGTGCACGCATCACGGCTGCAGATCCCCCCCCCACCCCATCTCCCCGACTGACAGCTAAACAATCGGCCGCGCAACGCCATCAATCCGCACTGCAGCACGGCGGTCAAATTTCACGGTAATGGAACAGGCCGCAGGGAGAAGGGTCGAACCCCTGAGAATGCCGTCATGCATTGCCGCGTTAAACGCAAATGATGCCGCGTCGTTCGATTTAGCGTGTAGGCATCATTATTTTGGGGCGTTTAGTTTCTGTATGTATTGCATGATGTTGAACTTATTTTTCACTGTACATAACCAACTGTGCTAATTGGACGTGCGGGGGGGGGGGGGGAGGCAAGGACCACGAAAAAATGTGACCCGTGCAGCGTGCGTAAAACTAAACTATCTTGATCTTAGCGGGTAAGGCCCACTGGGCTATAGAGCTCTTTTTCAGAAGTGACTTGGCCACAAATGATCGAGAGCGAGACGCGCAACAGCAACGCCGTCGCTGCGTCGAACGCGCCCCGGCGTTGGAGCCGCAGTTACACGAACGCGGTAACCTGCCACACTGATTGCGACCTGCTCGGCTGTCTACATTGTATCAACACGATAATGGGACCTACGTAACATCTGCATGCGCCGCTGTGCCCTTGTAAACTCTTACTCGTGCACCCGCGGGGGGGGGTGGAGAGGCGACTCGCAAAATCCATTCTCGACGTCTCACGGCGGTCAAGCGTGCACGGCGCCAGCCCACGTTGGCACACGTGGGAGACAGGAAGCTCCCCGGGCATGGCCGACGGCATCGGCCCTTGCTCGGTTGACATGGGCCCTAGCGCGGTTGGCATGGGCCTTCGCGTGGGGAATCAAGTGGATGCCCCCCACTTGTCTTATTCCTCCCCCTGGCACAAGGGTTTCCTCGGGCCCACGAGTCCTGATATGGGGGTGCGGGGGGGGGGGTGCCCCTAATGCCAACATTTAATCACCATGAATGGATTCAAAGTTATACTCCTTGAGCCAACTAAAATGAGAGAGAATAACGACCACAAATTTACCAAAAAAACAAACACTCGACCCATAATTCCACGGGTTGTCGTCGACCAGGACTAAGCCTTTCGCTCAAAATAAAAACGCTGAATAAATTAACGCTGGCACGAGGCAGGAGGAGTGGGGGGCAGGTGGACGGGCGAGTGGGTGGGGGAGGTAAACCGACAATGGCCGATGGCACTCACTTGGTGGACAAAGACGTCTTGCGGCGGGTCGACCGGCTGGCCCTCGCGGTTCGTCATGGCGATGAAGCCAAAGCCCATGCGCACGTTGAACCACTTGCAATAGCCTGTGCCGTGGAACACCTGCTGGCCCTCTTCACCCGGCCCTCGGCTCGCCCCAGCTGCGTACGAGCACACGCGTACGCACACACACACGGACACCGATGATGTCATGGACACGCACGTACAACAGGTAACGCGTGGACACGGCGGGGGCCAAGAGGGGGTGCACAGCGATTACGGTTGACTTTACGCTGCGAGTTTACGCGGCCACGATTATCCGAGTTAATTTGATTTGTTGTTACGCGGGTGGTGCCGTTTAGCCACGTGCCCCCGGATATTTTACAAATCTGTGGTGGCGCACGAGCGCAGAAACAAAATACAAATGCATCAACATTGTGGAGAACGAGTAATGGGCCCCTTCAGGAACATTGCACAACTAGCAAGCGAGGTGTTTTCATGTCGTGAAATAAAACGCTTGCAAATCGACAGAAAAAAACAGTGCATATATAATACGAAAGAGGTGTCAGAAAAAGTTAGGTACATATGCAAGTAACCTCTATATTATAGTCTTCTTCTTTTCTATCGATTAATAGCAGAAGATTAAAGATGAAGATATATATTATAGTCTAACAGGGGTACTATCATGAATCGTAGGTGGATTTATTTGGGGTTAGGCCACGAAAAATTTATAATAATAATCTTTGTTTTTATGAGTGCCTTTCATACCACAAGGTTCAAAGCCACTTCGCAAAAGATACAAAGACAATTGTCTTAAAACTGCTAAAATTATAGTACATAAGAAGCGTAAATTAATTAAAACCGTACGACAATCCTAAGATGTCAGAATGAAATCGGAAGGCTAAAATTCTGTATATAGGCCTCGGGCCTTCATTTAGAAGTGGCCACTGTGGTGGGGGTGTGGAAAACCTCACAGGGCCCGAACACAAAAAAGCAACCTCTGACAAAATTTGGTCTCATTCAACTTTGGTTGCTCAAAATTGGTTGTGAGATTCGCCCGTCAACTTCGTTTTAACATGTAGGCTTTCGTGACCAATAGTATCCATAAGAGGTTTTTTGGGTTAGATTGCATAAATATAAATGTGTCGTTAAACCCTCCACCACCCTGTGACAATAAGAATTGGCGTGCCGAACCACTTGTGCACCGTGTGGCGATGGATTTTTTTTGTTTGGGTTCATTCATAGTCAACTACAACAACAACAAAGTGGCCCAGATCATTACGTGGCCTAAACCCGCAAAAACTCCCGTGAACTAATGATCATGGTTGGCGTCCTATAATCTGTCATGGTGATACAATATACTTATTTGCGACGTGACGCCTGTTGCCATGTCAGTATTCCCGTAACTTTATAATTGTATTTCGCATTTAATTTGTAGCGGTTTTATACTTTGCTGTATTTCCAGTAGGAATGACGATTACTCAGGTGCCATTCACAACTTCACTCAACAGAAGTCTGCTATAATTATTTAAAAACTACAGTCACAACTTTAGCATCTACAACGCTTTTTAATGGACATTTTGTTAGTTACGCAAAAATAATTTAAACATTCATTTAACTATGAAAGTAATGATGATGGTGTGACACAAGTGCCAAACAATAATGAGCAAACGATAATTAACCATATCATTATATCTTAAGAAAAACATATTATACAACCATCAAGAATGTTATATTATACAACGTAGTATTCTGTAAACTATGACAATTAAAATGCACGAACATAAATAATGAAGGTGAAGGATCTGCTTCATGACAAAAAATATAAAATATACAGTCATACGCAAGTCCACAAAGCATTGGCCCTTCGGTATTGGTGTGTGTGAATAGGAATCTGATCCATCGTATCATGTAGTGTATAAATTAGGGATCATTTCCGATTTTGGCTCAATCTGAACGATCCAAAAATAAAACTGCGCCTAGAAATGAAATTTCGAAAGATACAAATTTTATTGTGGTTTATTTCCTATTCGTCTGAATGTACAACATCGTATTAGCTCACTTCCTCGCTTTTCCCACCAAAATCGAGGCATTCCATGGCATACAGATGTGAAGGGTCCATACATCTAAAAAAATGACACCTTAAAATTGTACTTAAACATTTTGAAATTGGAATTATTTTCATTATTATTATTACACATGCATGGATTCGGAATGAATTTGTATTACATTTTTCTAGATATCACGTTTTTTTTATTTATAGGCCCAATTTCAGAGTTTATTTCTTATTTTTGGAAATGTATCAATTACTTTAATTGTTCATGTACTACATTTAATGATTTTTTTTTACATTAATAACTACTTTTTTTACGGGAAGGGCAAACGGTAGAAAAAAAACAACTATAACGTGAACACGTTTGTATGTTGATAAATAATGCAAAAGCGATGTCGTGTGACAGCAGCTAAATTTTGTTGGGAAAAGCATCAAGGTAGCAACATTGGAATGACATCACATTGTCAGAACAATCCAGGAGCAAAAACATTTGCGGGATCATCCGAACTTTCCGTATCAACGGAAAATAACCCAAATATTGGAAACAATCCAATGACATAAAAATATTGAGTAATACTAATAATTACATTGGCAAAATAATTCTAGTTCATTGCCAAATACAAAATATAAGTCCACCAACCAATGATCCTTCTGTATTTATGCATGCATATATACAAATTATGTATCTTATGGTATTTACAAATACATGCGTGGGAAAAGCTTTTGATTTTTAAATGCCAGTTTCTGGACAATTTAAGATCATTCAACGTGACGTAATTGTTTAACTCTTGCTGACAAGATTGGCGTCATCCGATGCCACAACAACACTGCCTCTTCGGAGAATAGCATGGAAGTGACGTTTACAAGTGGCGTAATTTCCTGTGACGTCATACTTTGGAATCAATCCAAAACAAAAACACGTTTTGGATCGTCCAACCGTAACCAATGGCTGATTTTCATATTTTGTTGTTATTTCTGATTAACCTGAGACTCAAGAACGCGGCCACACATACATATATACGTTCACTATTTAAACACACTTGCTTAAGCCAAGTAGAAAATCATATTGTGAGCTCGAGGGGCTAAGTGCAGGTCGACAAAATATCTGCCCCATGCCAACAAAAATTTAGTTCAACCAATGCCAATATTTTAATCCTACCACCTATTGCCCTTCTGTTTTGACTCACGTATTTATGAATTTTTTTTATATTATATTGGCAACGGCTTGGTGATGCTTTCAGTCACTAAGTTGACAATATATTAAATCTATATAATTTAAAAAAAAAACGCAACGTTGACCCAACGTCTCAAGTTTACTGGGTGTGTAAATATTTAAAGTACAGTTTCAAATTGCTGTATGGGCAGATTGCAGGTAATGGGGAAAGCATCTGCATCGTGAACAAAACATTAAAATTAATTCCACAAGCCAATGCGCCATCTGCATTGAGGCATGCATGTACCTCTATGTGTGTGTATATATGTATCTTATGATTCTTATTGTAGCAACCATGCATGTATCCATTTAAACAAATTACCTACTGATGCTGGCTACTGCATTGGCAGTGGTACACATATAACGCAACACTGAACACATTGGTCAATAAGTGTGGTCTTAAAAGGAAGTACTACTTAACAGGTGAAGTTTTGCAAACGCAGTATATTATAGATTTAGCTTGGTAAGGCCACGACGTCATTGACGAACGTGTATTTGTTTTGCGTCAACGGTTGAGTTTCTTATTTTCACATAGACTTGTTTTTCTTCTTGTAATAACGTTCACCATTTAAAGCGCGAAATGTGTTAACTCGTAACATTAAGTCCAATCGTCAACCCCAAAAAATAATTATTCGAATGTAACTTTGTTACCCATTTCCGACGTCACGTCAGTCACAATGACATCACGTGACAATTTTGGCAGGACAAGCGCAGGAAGTGACGCAGCGGAAGTGACGCCAATCGGCACGTCACAATTTCGGATTGACCCAAAACAATGACGGTCCATCCGTTGTCACCACGCGCTCGATGTTCAGTATGTCTGGTTAACGTGAAAATCAGCGATTAAAACACATCCCTCGTCCGCGGGTTCACAAGTGAAACGTCCTGTTCGCCTTGTGAATAGGTCGAGAGAATTACAAACGAGCAGGCAAAATAAAATAACACTGCAGCACTGAATTGAGTATTCTGGATCAAACGTTTTCCGCGCCGTGTTAAAATAATGTAAATGCTGCCGATTAAAACATTTGAAGATACTTTATGATATATAATGAGCACGGTGGAGACAATTTTACATTATTTTTGGCAATGAATCGCACGTTTGTATACTCCCAATCCTTGACACGAGGTGTGAGGGATACATACACCGCATATTATTATGCACATAGTATACGTATCAAAATCATATGAACTAAAATCACTACTATTCGTACGCGCCAAGGTTACATATAGTACACACCATGCATATTGAAATAACGCAATCATTAATATCGCATCGTATACACACGGCATTGACTCAATGTCATCCGCACATCAATTACCCCGCAGGTAAGTTATAATAAATGTATACATTTAAAAAGATAAATAGATACAACAAAATTGCGTAATAGTTTCTTACACTGTAATCGCAAAGACGTTACAATTAACTGCACACACACACGCAATACAATTGCTAGCGTGATATCTATCCTGTTCGTTGCCACGACAATAACACGTGCCCCATGCATTCGCGTATGCACGTATACGGACATGTACGTATAACCACTTGGTGCAATTTTGCACTGCGTCACACGCGCCTACGTTAATTCTTTGAGTCACCTCACATCCTCGGCGGACAGCAACAGCAGCATCATCATCATCACAGTCGCGTTCACACTCCGCCTTGCACGGCCGCACGCGCGCGCGCGTGTCGTGACCGCACAAGACGCGCGTTCACTGATTCACGCGCAATTATCCGTGTACGACTGTACACGGATAACAACAAGCACTGCGCTTCGCTGTTTGCGTACACGGAGGCAGGAGGTGGATGGAGTTTGCGTGGCGGCACGTCGCTTATAACGCGATTCGCATTCCCGTGTTTGTTAATGAAGAGCCGCGGACAGGCGTCAGTACAACTCAGAATGTTGTGCGTGTTGTGATGTATTATTATCCACGAATTTACGACGGTCAACGACTTTAACCACCGTTAATGGCTTTAACAATGTAAACCACATTGTAGTGTATTAAGTAAAGTAACCTTTATTACGTGGTTCCAATACAACGTGAGCGGCGAACATCCACGACGAACGAGCTCGTTGCGTTACACTCCGAATGCTCGGTCCGGGCCCACGCGCGACAAAGGCACCATCGTTAACACCACCACCACCACCACCAAACAGAGGGCCCCCCTCTCCTCCACCGTGTAGCCTCAACAGACTGTTGGGGACAAGCGGCACTGCCATAGCGAGTAGCAGCAGGCACCTACGAAATCCGCCACAACGCACACGCGGCCACGTCGCGCAAGGTACTCATTTGAAGGCCGAGTCGATCTAGTGGAGGCCCAGGACCGGTTCGGATAATCGTCACTGCCAGTTGGTGGCCGTGTTGGGGGGGCATCGAAGTCGGGGTTCCCTGCCCTGGTTCGTCGCACAGCGCGCTAACCGCTGCACCACCGCTCCCCGCAGCATGACAGCACCACTCACTGGGGGACGCCACGATCACGTCAACTGCACCCCCAAAGCTTTTTTTAAAGCAACCTCGCGCCCACCCTTTGTTTACAAATTCAAGCTGTACGACTGTGGTCATGCAACCCAAACTATGGGGCCGTATCGTAAAAACCGCTGCGAGTCTACGCTCCTTCAACGGAGCAGGAAAAGCAAAAACTACACAAACTCTCTGTATCTCTCTCTCTCCATCAGTGGCGAGCATCAGACCTCGGACATTAAACTCCTGGGCCACATTGCTGCCACGACACAAAGAGTTCGAGCATAATCACAACCACCACCACCATTCCTCATCGTCATCATCATCATCGCGATCATTCGCTCGTAATCGTATCTCAGAAAATGGCGCCGCCTGTTGATCGAGTTGAGGAATTATTGAATTTTTTACAAAAACATTAATTTCTCGGGAAGATAAAATACACAGGGGACACAACAACACCACCGCCAACACCACCACCACGCGAGGCACGCAGTCGCGTTCGGCGTCATGCTCCCCCCGGGCTGAATGGACTTCCATCACCACTATCACTATCACCACTACCACTATCACCACTATCACTATCACCACCACACGGCGCCGTTTCACAATGACCGCGTCCCACATCCCGGCACGCTGTCATCATGAGCACGTTCGAGACAAGACACTCACACACAGACACAGACAGACACTCACTCACACAGACAGACACTCACACACACAGACACTCACACACACAGACACGTGCACGCGACACCAGCAACATCAACCAGCAACATCGCCCGGGCGCCTCTCCCTGAATCGCGCTCGCGAGGAGAGCCACGGGGCCACGGGCCCGCCGCCGCCACCACCACCGCAGGTATCGTCGCTCTCTTCCTGCCAAGAACTCCCCCCCCACACATCCACAACACACGGAGACTGTACCGTGGAGATGGATGAACACACACACACACACGCGCGCGTGTACGCTACAATACACGCGGTAACAACAACAAACAACAACCAGCAACAGTAGCAGCCAAGCAAGCATCCAAACCACGCAGCATCCAATTCCATTCGCCGTCGTGCGGCTGGAGCGCAGTTCATAGACGAGCGCACAGAGGGAGATGCCGGTTTGGTGGGTGGCGGCGGCGGTGATGATGATGATGGTGGTCGTCATGATGATAACAACAGCAACAATAATAATAAAGAGGCATTTATAATACCAGCGGCCATCCGCACCACACTTCCCAGGGCCGGCAACGGCTGCTCTTCTCCGGAACACGTGCGCGATGCAAAAACAAAAGGAGAGGGAGGGGAGTCGGTGGTGGGATGGGGAGGGGGGGGGAGTCTTCCTTGCTTCCAATAAGGCGCATTAATTGCGGTGGAACCTCACAGCGCTGACGGTGTCTAGGAGCACGAGCAGACCGGGGGGGGGGGGGGGGGGGGGTGGGGGGTGATGGCCACGGTGCGTGATGGAGGTGAGGATTGAAGTTGTCCCTGGAAAACGGTGCGTGCAGAAACATGGCGGCTTGTGTGTGGTGGCGGTGGAGGGGAGGGAGATCCACACACACGTGGAGGAGAAGAGGCGTGTGTGAGTGTGTGTCTCTCTCTCTGTAGTAGCAGTGTAGCGGTAAGCGCGCTGCGCTACGAAACCGGTCACCCGAGTTGGATTCCCGCTCGCGGTCAACACCGGCGATGAATTATCCGAACCGGTCACGGGCCGCCCCTAGGTCGACTCAGCCTCGAATGAGTGCCTGGTGCGGTGCGTAAAGAACCGCCACTAGGGAGGCGAAGGCGGCCGGGCGTGGTGCCGGGCCACCCACCCCGTCGTGTGCCGTGCCGGCCTTCATCGGTGTTCCTCGCTAACGGCACTTGCCCCTTACAGTCTGTTGAAGCTATACGGGGGACCTTTGTTGTTGTTGGGGGTGGTAACAGAGGTCGTGGTTGAGCGCTGCACTGATGAACTACGACCCCGGCCGTAACCAATCCCAGCCGAGGTCCTACTTCTTCCCGTGGCACCTGGTGCGGGGTTCTGAACACATCAGCACTGTCGGAAGACAAAGGCGGCCGGCCGTGTTGGTGGTATTGGTGTTGGGCTCCAACCCACACCCCACCGTAGGTGCGCCGTGCCGGCCTTCATATGCGTCTCGCTGTTGGGGCAGTACTTTGCTCCGGCAGTTCTGCTAAAGGCGACACGGGTGAGAGCTTCGTCTCTGTCCGTACGTGTGACCGACTCGAGGACTCCGCTTGGCCCGTCGTGTGTGATTACAATGCCTCCAGATTCATTACACAGTACCCGCAATTGTTGTCATGGGCAACGTTCTCGTTCATTGGCTCATTTTCATTTGGTCGCTAAAATTTAATCGGTGACAATATCTCGGCCATGAATTCAATCGTTCGTTGTGAGTCGATCATCTCGGCAAACTCGTCAATTAATTCGGCCATTCGTTCATTAAATAATTGCCCGGTTGTTGTATTGAGTCACCCATTCATTCATTCGGCGACTCATTCATTAATCTATCCAGCCATCGAGGGCATTCGTTCATTAATAATTGACCGGTTGATGCATTTGGCCACTCGTTCATTCATTCGGCGGCTCGTTCATTCATTCGGCGACTCATTCATTAAGCCGCACCATCGAGGCGTGTCACCTTCCTGGGAATCTTATGTTTGAGACACAACAAGAGCGGTACTGTGGCATAAACATCGCAGTGTCAGGGAGACTTAAAAACAGTCTCGCCACCGTATTCATTGACACGCGAGCACCTTATGTATGACAAACCTGAAAAAATACAACAGAAAATGTTTCGAGCAACATCCCCTTATTCAGGTTGCTACCCAACCACGCATGCATTTCCGCAGTGAAGGTGGCACTTAAGAAGTGTGCCGCTCAGGGAAATCGACTAAATCACGAGAACGTCGAATTATAATTATAATAAGAATGCAGCGGACGAGTTAAAACATCGACTCGTACCTCCCACGTTAGCGAGTTTGAAATACAGTAAAACCTTGGATTGCGAGCATAATTCGTTCCGGAAACGTGTTTGTAATCCAAAGCACTCGTATATCAAAGCACTCGTATATCAAATCACTCGTCATATATCAGTTGTGATCACGCGACGCTCGGCAGACAAAGCGTAGGCGCACTACTACTCGTATTGCAAGACCTAGCTCGTTTATCAAATTAATATTTATTTTAAAAAAAAATTGCTGGTCTTGCAAAAACATTAGCAGACCAAGTTACTCGCAATCCAAGGTTTTACTGTAGTATAAGCCGAGACGAAGATATGTTTGTGTATGAGAATCATTAGTTCATAACAGTCTCGCCCAGAAGCGAGCGTGTATAATGCACAATCATAGTTACCAGTTACTCTTTGTACACCCGGTAAACATGCAACGTTGGCTCAACGTCCCATGTTTGCTAGGAGTATATATGCGTATAACGTTTAACATGTAGGCTTACCGCGACCAATATCCATAATAAAGAGTTTTTTGGATATGGATCGCGTAAATATAAATGTGTCGTTCACACAATTCTGGCAAATCGCCTGATGAAGCTGGTTGTTATCACCAGCGAAACGTCGTACTCAAATTGTAAATGTTGTGGCTTTACTCTCAAACACACAACCGGCGTGCCGTACTAGTAACTAATTGGCACGTTTCATTCACGTGTCCAGCCTTACTAATTGGCTGTGTCGGGTGGTGGCCGGCTTAAAGACACATGTACGCGATCTACCCCCAATTTTTTTTTATGGACGCATAGAGCTGTGGTATTGATGATCCAATGGGGCCGGTGGTTGGCACATTTCCATGTGAATGAATATGGGCGAGCAGATGAAAAATTAGATTTCCCGGCCACGGCTAACATCAGTGGCGATTGCGATTTGCATTGGGTCATGCATGGCGCTTCTACACCCACCCCTGCCTTGCTCGCTCACCAACCACGGCACTGACCGGCGCGGTGAAGTATGGCCAAACAAGCCCTCCTTCCACGACCGACACGGCATGGCCCGACACCCTACGTCCAGCAGTGGATTGACAAAGGACTTACGTATGCATTATATTACAAGTAATAATACACAAACGCGTGTGTATTATCTGCGTATGCGGAGCGGTGTGTAGAATAAAGTCTGTGGTGTAAACACATTTGGTCACCGTTATTTATGATTTTGCTACGTTTTAAAAGTGGGTCCTCATACTGCTTCGTGTGGCGTTATTTACGTAGCCGACAAACGGCACCTTACTCGGCAAACGGTAGCTTTGCTGATGAGCTCCAAAAATACCAAACCACCGCGTGCTATTCCCGAGTGTGTTGTTGTTGTTACAACCGTCGCTGCGACGTGCCGTGGGGGATACACGTGCTTAAATTTTTGTTGTATTTACATTATCGTTGCGGACGAAGACGATGAGAACAATCGCGTACGAACGATTCTGCTGCCGGGCGAATTAGCGTCCTTCTCCGCTGTGTGCGAGTCATAGAGGGGTTGGCTCGACCATGCTTCACTTTGGCTCAAGGAGAGTTGGTGAAGGAGGAGGCTATGGGTGGTGGCGGGTTAACCCAGGCCCAGCTCCGATACCGACTCGCCGCCGACGTGAGCCGTGACGGGGGAGTCGAACTCACTCCGCGGGTTTGAGAACGCAGTGGCGCGCTCTCCGTTGATCTCACATTTCTTTCCCTCCACCGCACCACACGCACGAACGCGCAACCGATTCACCCCAATGAAAGACTGCCACAGACAGCCGCGTATAGAGTCCCTAACGGGTTACAATCCAGATTTAGGGGTCGGCGTGCCATCTGACTATTGCGCGTTTTTTTGTTGTTCAATGAGCGATAGCTCATTCATTAAACGTACCTGTTTTCATTTTTAGCCACAGATCACCGAAGATGCGGCAAATCCCAAACACACACACACAGACAAAGACCCCACAAATAGCAATAACAGACTGTTGGGGCAAGTGCTGTTAGCGAGCGTCTATGAAGGCCGGCACTGTGGCACACGAGGCGGTGGGTGGCCAGCACCACGCCCGCCTTTGTCTCCCCAGTGGCGATGTTTTTACGCACCGCACCAGGTACTCATTTGAGGCTGAGTCGACACACAACCACGCCGTATTGCAGCCAAGGAGATGGTCTGGCGGATGACACGGAAGCCATAAATGGCGGCGGTGTCGGCTTCGGGAAGGAGACCTTTATCCAGCAGTGGATTGATCATGTGGTTGATGATACTTAAAGCGGAACAACGTGTACACATTTCGCCTGTCTATCTATGCTTTGCATGTTGTCTACGCGTTTGCGAGGGACACTCGGAGGAGAGTTGTCGATCCACATACTTGCACCGCGATGGTCCGTGCGGTTTCGTGGAGGTGTGGAATGTGATGATGATGATTATTATTATTGCTGTGCACGGGAAGTGGAAGTTATGTAATGTTACGTCGCCTGCTTGAAATCATTGTGACCACGCATTGCATAACGGCTCATCATTTTACCCCCAGCACTGAACATACACGGGTGCAGGCCCAAACCTCTATGTTGCAGTACTCCAAAAAGTAATGCACGTGCATATAGGCGACGTGGTGTATATAGAAATGTAACGTGAAAATTATGCTTTTTTTATATCACAACATTTGAATTTGGCTTCACCAGCGCGTTGAAATGTGGTCAAATAATCCCCCACGATCGCCTCGCGACTTCGAGTGTCCCTCATCCAGCAGTGGATTAACAAAGGCGGCTGCGTGTGTGTAAGTCGCGCATATTCATCCACATTTATGATATCGTATTTTTAAAAAAACAACACACATTTTGATTCAATAATCTACGGCTGGTAAGGTCTGCAATGACGATCGCTTGTGTTGTGATCGAAACGTCGTACTTTTTGTTTGTTTATTTTAATTAATTTGAACCTATCTACGTGACTTTACCGAAAGACCCAAAGAATAGGCGTACACAAATGTTTACGGTCAACACAACCTAGAGGTGGGGAATTAACGCAGAACTAAATACAGCGCGTCTGTACCTCGAATGTGATTATTGACACATTGAATTGACACCACGAAGTATATAAAATATATCATGGTGCTGTGTGTGTATATATATACACCAAGTTAGAAATATATCTTGCATGGATCGTGAGGTTGTGGCGATGACACGAGGAGGGATGTATTCATCCAGCAGTGGATCCACGCATGGCTGATGATGTATGACACAGAATCTTTGTGAACAAAGTGTGTATAAAGCATTCACAGGGCGCTATTTTCATCGCGTTCCGTTTGCTTACGCATTCGCGCTCCTCGCAATGGTTTTGTCGTCATTCAAAAAGACGGAGAGCAGTAAAGCTTTCATTCCCCCATTGCACTACGTGCTGCTGGGATTCATCAATAAACGTGGTTCACGTTATCAGCTCGGTTCATTGTTTTATCGCTATCCACGACGCAACGGAATCGACGCGCGCGAATATAATGCAGCCCGTGAAGTGAAGTCGTGAATATTTATCGGTGCAATTCGGACGGGGCAGACCGAATGAGTAAAATATTCGCACGCCACGCAACATCTTGAGAGAAGAACACGACGTTGCATAATAATTAAGTCGCGAATTTTGGGAG